TTTTTCCACCTCTCAGTGTGAGCAACGCAGTCGAACTATCGATTCATATCGAGAAAATCGAGAGTAAATTGTCTTAAGGTCTAACTATAATGTGCATAAGTTAGCTTAAGCCAGCGTAAGCAACTGTCCGAATACACACAAATTGTATGTTGCAGCTATAATGTACTTTACATCAAGTTTCGTTCAGTTTTTTCAAATGTAATTTGCTTAAGGAAAATACTAAAGTGGTCGCATTTTCCGTACGGAATCAGCTGTTTTCGTTTTTTTTTTTTTTCAATTGATACATCATTTTGAATTTGAAAATGAAAAGGACGAAGAGTGTTTTGCCAACAATTAAAATCATTTCAAATTTGAATATGGAGGACGACGAATGCTTTATCCAGAATTTAATAGATAATATTGAAAAAAAGAAATGTTTGTACAATCAGCTGTTTTCGTTTTTTTTCAACTGATACATCATTTTGAATTTGAAAATGAAAAGGACGAAGAGTGTTTTGCCAACAATTAAAATCATTTTAAATTTGAATATGGAGGACGACGAATGCTTTATCCAGAATTTAATAGATAATATTGAAAAAAAGAAATGTTTGTAAAAACGAGATGCTTTTTATTTCAATCGTACAAACAAAGAAAAGGCATGGAAAGCAATTGCAGAAATATGCGGTAAAAGTGGTATGTATTAAAACTGTTATATTAATATATATTTTTGTATTTTATATTTTGTATGTTTGTTTCAATTAAAAGATCAAGAATTCAAACATAGATGGAAGCTACTCCGGGAGCGCTTCTGCAAGGGGATTAAAAGGTTAGAAGCGCCATCAGGTAGCGGAATGAGCTACTTAGATGAATGGCGTTTTTTAAAACCTATGATGTTTTTGAAAGACTCCGTCACACCACGCCACGCCGGTAGGTATTGTGTATAAATTTTAATTTTTTGAAATATAAGTTTTTCATTGTGCAGCACACGGGATAATGCAGTAGCAAATACAGACTCAGTCTTGGAGTCATCGATGAGTGATAGTTGTAAGGAAATTTCATCGGCACCTCCAAAAAATAAAAATAAAAGTCTACCTAGAAAGTCTCTACCAAAAATTCGGCGCAACAATGGAAAATTTAGAAAAGCAAATGGCGGGGCCGGCTGAAAGATGTGAATCTGACGAGGCCTTTATGACGACGGTTTTGTGTCTGAGAAAGACCTGCCAGTATCAGTTTCCAAGAGAAAATGATATTGGAGTTGTATCAGACATGAAATTGAACGACAAGAATTCAACCTAATTTCCTTATTTTATTTTCTTTTTTTTTTTTTAAAGGCTTGAAGCATTGATTTTTTTAGTTGTAGTTTTAGTATATATATTTATATTTATTATAACAAAGATGCATAAAATGCTTCAAATTACTGTACCTGAACTACATGAATTATTTTAGTTTGAATTTTTAACAAAAAACAATCGAATGAAATACATATATAAAATCCCATTTAGTTTTATTAAAAAAGAAATAAACAAGTTCGAAATGATGTTAGATATATAAATTTAAAATATATTTTAAAAAGTGTTAAAAAACTGCATAAGTTATTTCTAATTTCCAATGAACTTCATCCACCGTAATGATGCAAATTGGAAGATTGCATAATCGATGGGATATTACTTTCAACTTCTCTGCGCCATAAACCGTCATGAAACTCATCATTAGAGTCCTCCCAGTCAGCATAGTTGCTTGCAATATACGAAGATGCATTTTCATTATTAAACATAATAAAATTATGTAAGGCAACGCACGCCAAAACAATTTTTTCTGCATTTTCCGGAAATAAATGTAATGTTGTTAGTAAAACTCGCCAACGCGCTACTAGTATTCCAAAAGATTTTTCAGTTGTGCGACGAGTTCTTGATAACCTTTTATTAAAAACCTCTTTTTCATTTGGTAGCATTCCCCCAGGGTATGGACGCATTAAATTTATCCCTAAAGGAAAGGCAGCATCATCAATGAAGAAGTGTGCAGTTTTTAGTTGCGTATTTGGTAAGTCTTTCGGTGGAGGGATGGGAAGTTTGCGATTTAGCAACCTCTTTACCAATCCACTCACTTGAAAAATGCCTATACACGTAAAGAGAAATAATAATATTAATTTAAAAAAAAAAGAAGTGCACAAATATAAAAGTCCTTACCACCATCACTCTGACTTCCATATGCACCAATATCTATGTAAGTAAACCGATATCGTCCATCACATACTGCTAACAACACAATAGAACAAAATTTTTTGTAGCAGAAAAATTTACTACCGCTTTTAGGTGGGCAGAGATATGCTTCCCATCAATAGATCCAACACAGTTGGGCATATTCCACAGTTCCCAGAAATCTTGAGAAATTTGCTTGAAATCCTCTTCATTAGGCTCAGATACATAAACAACCCCTAACTGCGTCCAAAGGACTTCAGCTGTCTCCAGAATAATATGCGTAACCGTTTCCTTCCCCAGTTGAAATGACCATGCCAACGATTGAAACGAAGTCCCTTGTGATAAATATTTTTAAGAAAAAGAAAAAAGAATAAGACATAATAAAAATGTATTAAAATGAACAAACTTACTGTAATGTCAAAGCTAATCGAAATTCCGGATGCACAGRCTCCCTCAACGAATTCTTTTTTAAAAAGGGCTCAGCAAGAGTAAGCAAAAGTCCATATGGGTTGTGTTTGGTATCGCGCCGGTTAATTTTGGCTCACCGTACCTAAACGAGAGAACCAAATTGAAAATTTTAAACACACATGTATGCTTAAATTATCGAACTTTATTTTAAAACATACTTTATAAAAACCTGTTCACAAATTTTTCCACAAATTCACTTTAAAATATGCTATTTTTTGCAAATTTCTAAATATATGGTAGTGTATTTTCATCTGTTGTGCATTGTACCAAACCAATTATGGATACATTTTCACGCACATATATTACTTATGAATTATAAAAACCACTAGTAATGTTTTTAATTACTTTTGATCGTTAATTTCTTTGAAAATCTTTAAATAAAATACACATTTTTCTGCAATGAGTTCAATAATGCGAAAATCCAAAATGACTGCCTAATTTGAACTGTCAAATTACCCAGAAAGCTCGAACAAAAGGGAATAAATTAAGTCCACTTGGCAATAAATGTATGAAGTGAACACGAAAAGGTGTTCAATGCTAAAATAACTGTAGATGGCGTAGCC